TATGCCTAGGATGACCTCTGGCGCGCGGTAGAATCGACTGACGAGATATGGAGTCACCTCCGTCGAGGCCGTGGCCGCGTCAGACCGGTCTATAGCCGTACCCAAATCACAGATCTTCAAGAGATTGCGCGCCTCGTTTACCTACATCAGGAATTAGCATATTGTCTCTCCCATCACAATGTGTTGGAGAGGACTCACCAGGATATTGTCAGGCTTCAAATCAGCATGGATGATGCTGCACTTGCGCATATGGGCAAGGGCAAGGAAGATCTGGTAAGCGTAAACGCGGGTGGCACGCAAATTGATGCCAACGTTGTTTCCGAACTTCTTCAGCACCTCGCGGAGGTTCATGCTTAGGTTCTCAAATACCATGCACAGATGGCCCTTGTACTCGAAGGATCGCTCAAACTTCACGATATGCTTCTTGTCCTCAGGATCAGCTTCGTTCAACTTCTGTAGAATGGCAATTTCCGTGAAGCCACCCTTCCGCAGAGCGTCGTTGTTACGCATGATCTTGATGGCGACAGTCTCCTGGGTCGTGAGGTCCAAAGCACGGGCGACTCCCGAGAACATACCACGGCCGAGAGCCGTCGACAGCTGGTATCGTCCGTCCAACAGCTCACCGGGCCTGATCTTGTAGTAACCATCTTTGTCATCACCTTCAAGCTTACCGCCGCCGCCATTGGCCTGGCCGTCATTTCCAGCTTTCTTCGAAGCTACAGGAGCCACAAGCTTCTCCTCGTCGAAGTCGTCTGCAAACATGTCAAACTCGTCGTCGTCGTCTCCGCCATTCTCAGGCTGCTTCTCCTCATCCTTCTGCTCCTCCTTGGCAGCGTCTGCCTGAGCAGGATGTTTAGCTTCCCCATGCAGTCCAACATGTCCGTGGCGCAGTTCGTCACGGCGCTCGTCTTCTTTCATATCAGCAGTGGGATCATAATCAGCGGCAGAGGGGCCATCAACTTCCACTTTATCGTTCACATTGGCTCTCGCAAGATCTTGCTCGGCCAGGAAGAAACTGAATGTAGAAGGAGACATGGCGTCTGGCAGCTGAACGGGTGACTGGGTGGGCGACGTGGTGACATTGGCTGAAAAAGGTTAGCAACTGGAGTAGACAAATAAACCGAAGATTAAAGAGACTTACTCGACTTGGGACTGCTGGGCTCTGTCTTCTGGGGAGCTGGAGTATTGAAGCGGCTCGACGAGGGGGTGGGCGATGGCTTATCACCTTGTAATGACTGGACACTGGGGCTTGCCGCACCTAGACCACGTTGAAGAGCAGCCTGTCTAGCTTTTCTTCGTCGCTCGATCTCGGCTTGGACACGAGCTTCCTCGTCCATTGCCTCGGACGGGTCCCAGTCCATGTCAGGTTCTGGTTCTTTGGATGCCTCCTGTTGAGGTTGACTATGGGGAATATCAGCAAGATATTCAACTAGCAACGCAAATAACAAGCAGATAACCTACCCGTTCTGTGAGATAGCAAGTTCCTTGACGCCTCGTTCAACCGGAACACCCTGACCAGATTTAGCATTTTCCTTGGAAGTATAAGAAGCCCCCATGTGAGCATTTCCTTTAGACATTTCTTGCCCACGCCTGTCATCTTTGCCATCTTGGTAGGTCCCTTCTGGTTGAAAGGTAACGGTACGGCCCCTATTATCGCGCCGCCCTCTGTTATTGTTATCGCGCCGTCCTCTGTTATTGTTATCGCGGCGACCGCCCCTGGGGGATCTGCTTCTGTTATTGCGAGGTCTCTTGACGGAATATGGATCGTAGTCGCGCTCGCGGTCGTAATCGAGTGGCTCGCGATCACGGCCACGGTCATCTACACGATCGGCAGCCGGACGAGTAGGAGGAGCGACGTCCCTGGCTGAGCCGTACCGATTACGGGTCGAAGATGACCGCTCGTCATCATAGTTTATCGTGCCGCGCGAGGGCGGACGGTCTAGGTCGCGGTACCGGTTACTACCCCTATCATCGTCGTAGTGAACGCGGAAGTGTCGGGGATCGCGGCGGTCCCGGTCTCGGTCTCGGTCATGGCGGTCGTCATCGCGCGGACGCTTGAAGCCCCTGGGCGAACGAGGAGGAGAGCGTGGCGACCTGCTGTGACGACTGAAGGAGCCTTGGCGGACGTGTCCAACTCTAGGTGACTGACGATGGTCAGGGAGCTTGGAGGGTTCGGGAGTGCGCTCGAGTCTGGCTCTTGGTCTGCCGGTCCGGTCAATATCACCGTTCAACTTAGAGTGAGGCAGGGGAGTTGCCTCTGCGATTTCCCCTCCATCCGAGCTAACATCGGGGAATGCCATTGTGTGCAAACCGACCGCTTGAATGTGGACGTCCGACGTAGAGAACTAACGCAAAAATAGCCTGTCTGGTTGTGCCAGCTTTCGAAGTCGAGAGAACTGAACAAGAAGCGATTTCGCTGCTGGCTGTTTTGGGGGAATGGGAGGTTGGGAGAGTGTCAGCTTCTTGATCGATAAAGCAGTGATTTGTTGAGACGGAGAGCAGAGCCCGACCAGTTTTAGCTTTGCAACTTTGTCAATTCTACCGCCGAAAGTGGTAGCGTTGAAGATGGGCGGGAGTTGAGAAGGTGTTGTAGGAGAATTGGTTGGAGTGGCCGAAGACGGTGCTGGATGGAGACTTTTGGATCGTCAGTCGTCGTGTCAGGGCCGCAGTCTGGCAATGGACGATAATGACGGAACGAGTTGCAATTCAATGCACTGAAGTCAGTCGCGCTTCAGGGGTTACGCAAAGCCTTACAGCATACTACACTAACAGTGAACCCTATTGACTGTAATACTGAATAGTTAACACCCTAACGCGGCCGAAGTTCAGCCGCGCCACCGCCCAGTCGCAAGGGTTCCTTCCTTTACCGTTCTAGCCTTCTTATCGTTGATCGGTGGGGCACTTTGTCTTTCTCGCCTGATCATTCCCCAAATCGTCAATTCTTCTCGCTTTTTGTTTGTCGCAAATACTTTGACGTCCTCACCAACACCACCTTATTGCTCTTTTTAACTCTCTATACCAACCTTAAACCGACAAAATGGGTGGCGCTGACAGAGCTGGTATGTTTCTTCCTTTCCACTCATTGTCCATCGCTCGCTGTGTTGTGCGACGGCGCCTACTATGGCGATCAGCGAAAATCTGGTGATAGCCTCACGCTGACATTCTTTTCTCTCCAGGTGGCAAGGCCAAGCCCCTCAAGGTACGTTTTTTTGTGTACCGATCCAAGATGACCAACTACGGACCAGAGCGACGACGACACACGATATCACTGAGACGCGACTACTGGAGGGATTAAACACTGGCTGGCGGCTCTCGTGAACAATCACTATAGCAGTTGCGAAAAGCCTCCATATGGTCTCACCCATGACAGAAAGGCTGGCACCTTTGAATGCGTGCACAATGGGCGCAAGGTCTCAGCTTTTTTGTCATGGGCTCGAAGATGATAGTGTCCAAACCCTCCACAGTCACGGCTCAGTTCGACGAAAACACCACACATCTTCGGCAACAACGAATAGAAGACTGACTCTGATCCACCAACAGGCTCCCAAGAAGGAGAAGAAGGACCTCGACGACGAGGACAAGGCTTTCCTCGAGAGAAAGAGGGCTGGTACGTTACCACCACTTTTTTCCCACTGCATCACCTATCACATGCCCATCCCATCCCAAACCAAATCCAGCAAGCACTTGGCTAACGCGTTCCTACCCGAACAACAGAGGAGAAGGCCCGCAAGGAGCTCGCCGCCAAGGCCGGCGGCAAGGGTCCCCTCAACACCGGTACCCAGGGCATCAAGAAGTCCGGCAAGAAGTAAACTCGCAGCAGCTTTTTAGACAAGAAAGACAAACTTGGAAGATCTCCCTTCCGACCGAAACAGTGAAGGAAGATCGAACGAACAACCAAAGAAGCAAGAAGCGACGAGTAACAGACCGACGGACGACATGAGACACGCATACACACAGTGGCGGCTGCTGGTCCTGGGAAGAAAGGCGAGAGGCGTTATCAAACTGAAAGGGTTTACAACGGGATGTTCTTTGCGTGTCTTCCATAGAGGCGCTTAAAGTCTTCCCTCGATTAAAGTTAAGAGCATGTAGCGAGGAGCGACAGAAGATGAGATACCAAATGGGAATATACAAGAATGGCACGTAAACAGTTTCGGGATACATTTTGCGCAGTGATTAGATGGATGGGTGCGATGTCTAGTCTACATGGAATGGCAGAGGTAAGAGTCTTTTTGTGTGAGGTCACTTGAGATGAAAAGACCAAAGACCAGACCGAAAGTCAGGGGATCCGACAAGTGTTGGCAGGTTGTGCCATAGCGCTATCACACTGCCCATCCATGAGTTTGCATACATTCGATAATCAGATGAGATGGAAGCAGTCGCTTACGGCTGTCTGAAAGATGGGAATGCCCGGCAAGACTACGAGGAACCCAATGTCCACCCACACATTACTACGCAGTTAATATAGTCCGAGTAACGTAGCTCGTCCTAGTAAGAGAAGATATGATGTAAAGCGTCTAATCAAAACATATTATGTATATATAGCACGTTCTTTTGACGCCTTCCTGGGCCTGCTGCTGGTCTCTCTCTCTCTCTCTCTCCCTCTCAGTCAAATTGAGAGTTCATATAGTACAGAAGGCACCAGCCCATCCTTTGCTTTTTGCCATCCAAAATCCAACAGCCCTTCTAGGGCCTTTCTAGATTTCTGATTCTCGTGACCTATCATTTCACACACACACACGCCCATATAAACAAACGCCGAAACAATGCTTGGTAAGGGACATAGTGTGCCCATAAAAATGCAAACTGCCCGTCCTAAGTCTCTTTCATTCATCTCCGTTTCCATGAGATGGGGAAGCCAGCCGTTCATGCTCCGACTCGGCAGTCCTCCTCCGCATCCAGAACCTAAGGATATCCCTCTTCCTCGCCTTATTCACCGAAGACGACTCAACGCCTTCACCAACCCCCCTTCGCGGTTTCCCTCTTCCAGGAACACGGATCTTCTAGTTCCCGCCCCAGAAGCTATTCCCACTCACGCTTCCGTTCGCGCCCCTACTTGGCGCACCAGGCCCAGGTCCCTGCCTTCTGTTCCCCCTGAAGTAGTCATACTGCATGGGGTCGTTCTGGCCCTGATTGGGCTGAAAAGGCGGGCCCTGCATCGCGCTCGGCGGCGTCTGCACCATGTCGTCGTCAGTTTGCGGTACGTTGCCGTAGCCATATCTGGAAGCGCCCAAGACGCCTGGCGCGCGTGGGTTGGGGATACTAAACCCGCCCAGTGGACCGCGAGACCTGGAGCTATCGAAACTCTGTTCGTGGTGGAGGCCGGCGTCCGAGACATCGAGACCCGCTGGTGTTGAAGTTGGCATGCCCGCCGCGTTGTAGACGAGGTTGCTCGAGCTATCATTGCCGTTGTCACCCATGTGATACAGGGGGCTTCGGCCTCTACCGGGCGCCTCGCCAGGAGTTAGCGTGGGCGGTGAATAGGGCGCCTGGTTGTTGTACGAGTATTGTTGCGACGGAGACATGTATCCGCCACCATAAGCAGTGTTGCCCATATCGGACTGGTTCGAAAAGAGCCTGCGGTTGTTGCCGAAGCCCATCCCCCCTACTGGTGTACCTGGTCGAGAGTTGTTGTCGGATCCCGTAGCTACGGTTCCTGGTGTGTCTGGCCGGACGATATCAGATGCTTGTCCGAACAACTCGCCGGCACCATGGTCAGCAGCGAATTCGTCACGATTCTTGTAGAACTCAAAGTCCAGTCGGGACTCGGGGACGACCTCGAACCCGGGCACCGCGGACGACACTTTCCCGACCTTTCCAGAAGCCATACTGTCCAGGGCGTAAGTGTCGCTATACCCGCTCACAGACATTGAGTCGCCAGGTCCTGCATCACGGCCGTCGGACAGTCTGCCCTGGTAAATGCTTGCCAGTATATTCTGAGCTTTGGCGTGCACCATGGGTGTGATCAGCGGCTTGTATAGGGCAGGGTGGCCGAAGCGCGAGGCCAGACGATCATTTTTGAGGCCTTGTTCTTTTAGGCCGAAACCCTCCTCAGCGTTGTCGTGCTTGATGATTCGCGTGGAGTAGTATGTGATCTTATTGTCGTACAGCCGTGAGCAGATGAGCTTGAAGATGATCATCAGAAATGGCAGCGGGGCGACGGAGTAAGCTAGAGTATGGTCCCCGTTTCTAACCCACACTACTAAGAAGACGACCAGGTGAGATAGCATCAATCCGAAAAGGACGCGGTTGAACAAGATGCGCCAGAACATTCCTCCACTCTCCGTTTTCGTGACGAAGACGTACATCAGCAAATACTTTTTGAGGGCAACGTCAATGGCGAAGTATACCCCTGCCGCCGGGAGAACAAGCGGCATGATGGGAGCGTAACAGAGGGCGGCTGTGGCGTAGAAGAGAAAGTAATTGTAGTAGCTAGCGTAATCAAAAGGGGGAGGTGCCGAGAGCTCGATGAGCTCTCTTGGGGTCGGGTTCGAAAACTTTCGCATTATAGAGCCGTAGATCAACTTCCAAAGCTGCGATAAGTCGATGGCAGCACCAAGCTGACGCTGGATGAGCCAAGAAACCCAGAAGGGAGAGATATTGCAAAGCGCGATGAGGACCGTGGTTCCAAAATTTGCGTTGAGGATAGCTCGCCATGCATTCTTATCCTCGCTGTCCATGGTGTCGCTAATCACCCTGCCCGCGAAGGACCAGAGCGCGCTGAACAGGGAAAATACAAACAGATTGTTGAAAACGAAGAAGGAATAAAGCTTGGCGACAACGTGGCGTTCACGACCGGTCTTGGTCATGTCGCCGGCCTTCATAGATAACCGCCGGAAAATGATGGGGAGCACCATGTAAACCAGGGAAGTCAAGGCTGGAGAAGCGATACCCTGTACAATGGCCCAGAAAGTTCTGTTCTCTTCCAGGGATTTCTGGAAGGTAGACCAAACAAGTGCGAGATTGCTCAGGTTGACCAAAAAGATGGCAATCATGGCGTTGGGGGCGACCCATACCACGGTGAGAACAGTAATCCATAAGTTATTCCATAGTCTCCTCATGGCGCGAGAGCCCGAGCTGAGTGGCATATTTTCCCAGACGATGTCGTTAGGCCTGGGAGCGAGAGTAACCCTTGCACCTTGCGGTTTCTTGCTTCGGCAGAGATAGGCAATCGCATGCGCTTCACTTATATCAGAATAAGACGCAAAGCCATACGGCATGGAGCCTCTCTTGTCAATCCGTTGGCGAACCTCCTTAATCTCCAGCTCCAGCAACTTGATACGTTGGGTGAGGTAGTCGATAGCATCCAGTTTCTTGTCCTTCGGATAGGTTGAGAACGAAGGGTCTTTCTTGGAGGGCCGGCAGACTGGCCTGGTAGGTGGGAGGTTCTTGGGGTCCTTGAGGTATTTGGCCAGCACTCGTTCCAGCTTCCGGACGGTCTCACCGTGCTGCTCGATCAAAGCGGGTAAAATCTTGACGTCGCGTGCGACAGCAGTCCTCGAGAAGGACGAGCTCGGTGCTACGCTGTCAATGATTCGGGCGATACCTTCATCCGAAGTCATATTTTTGGGGATATCGTACAACTGGCAGTCGTTTGGTTAAAACGGAGAACCGGTGCGATGGGGGACGGGTGTAACATACCATGAGCGTACGGGCGTGGAGGCTCTGCTGGTACTCCTCGCTTCTGAGATACTGGATCCTTAACTGACAAACCTTCCTGTAGTTCCACCAAAGAAAGAAGCACACAATCAGGGTAGTTACCCAGGACATGACAACTGTAGCCCATTGCCACTTGCCCCACACGTTCATGGGGGTCACCCTTTGCAGCCAAGGCGACTCAGGTGAGGCATTCTTATACCAATTTATGGGAATTTGAATGCAACAACACAGGACGGCAAGGGACAAGAAGATGTTGCGGCACATCCTGGTAAAGCGCATAAAGATGGTGGCGTCCATGCCAACCAGCTTCACCAAATCCTGCTCCGTGGTCGTCCACAGCGGCTTGATCCAGGAAAAGATGCCCTTCCCGAGCTGGGGCGGGGGCGTGTTTTTCATCGGCATGTTTGAGTTTGGGAGCGTATACGACAGTATTGAGCGGCCTAACCAGGGAGAAACCAAGGGCAACGGCGGCGGTGATGCTGAAGGAAGAAACAATGGCAGCGTAGATGGAACTGGTAGAGAGCTGGAGAGCAGTAGGATCAGCAATGTGTACGTTACGGACATGACATAACGACATATCTCTGTGAATAAAGGTATGGCACTTACCTGCGAGGCAAAGGGGTTCTGCAGGAGTCTAAGGAACTCGGTAATAGCGTCATCACGGCTTTTGAGCACGTTGGCTAGTGTGTCCGGTAGTTCCACCATCTTGTTTGCCAGTAAGAAGCCCAAACAGGGCGGTCGAAGCAGAAGTTGTGATCAGAGCGACAGCGATCGAGGGGGGCGGGTTGTGGTTCGTCGTCGAGAGAGCCGTGTTAGCGCAGGCCCGTGAGTCGTCTGGTCGGCAAAGCCCAAGTTGGGATGAACTGGTTTCCCTTCTTTCCCCAGCTTTCGGTTGGTTCAACGAATTCGAAAAACACCGACAGATTCGAAAGCCCTTTCCCGTCTGCAGTTATCCCCAACGAAAGATGTTTGCTGTATGTAGGCGTCGAGTGTCGGGTGAAGGCGTGCTGTTGATGGCGAACGTGACCGGCCCTGTTTCAAAGGCGTGCCGCGCAAGTACAAAGAACGAGATCAGGAGTCCCTTTGGCGTCGACGATCAAAGAAAACAGTTTCGTTGTATGCTGTGCGCATCACAATTGGAACCGAACGATTGTCGTCGTGTGTAACTCGCGCCGGGGCAGTCAGATAGAATAGGGTCAATAAGAAAAAGACCACCACAATCTGGAACGAATGTGACGTATGGTGGATGCCAAGTCCCAGCGCTAACAAATTGATTCTGGAAAATCTGTGGCCGATCGGGACTCTGCCGCCAGTGCTGAATAGGAGGAGGGAGAGTCCAGCCAGTAAGCGAGAGGGGCGGACAAGAGACGGTATTAGTGAGGGTATTCAAGTAGGGTGCGCAAAGAAGGAAGCAAAGTCCTGAGGGTTATTGCTTTGCTCGAAGGTTGGGTACTGTGGGAAAAACGAAGGTGGTGTTGGTGGTCGTGGTCGTGGTGGTCGATGATGGGATGGAAGAGTTGGTTAAACGAGCGTCCAAGTCGAGTCCATCAGATCGGGCCCATGTCGATTGAGTGGTTGATTGATGGGGGTGGATGATGATATCAATCCGGCCACTTGTGCATGCGTGTCGCAAGATCGTCAAAAAGTATGATGGGCAGCGACAGACACTGGACTTGACGAGCACAGGCAAGCAACAGGCAAGTGGCAGCAAAACGATTGGGGATGGACGGGTTCTGGAAGGAGGGATGAACGGGCCAATGACCGCTCTTGCCCATCTTTGTGCGTCAATCATGGGGACGCCGGGGTGGCTTCGGGGCCGCTAAGAGGCTCGTGTGGTGGCTCCTTCCCCTTGCTCACATCCACATGCCGTTGGATCTGTGACTGCCCGTGGGGCCGGATTGTCAGACTCCATTGGCTGTGTGGTGCGCGTTGCAGCGACTGCAATGTGCTAAGAATGGAACTTGGAACTTTGCTTCCCGTCCGTCAATGGAGTTCAGGGTCTCGACGCCGTGCCCAGGGGTAGGCAAGCAACCAGGAACAGCCCATTCAGTGTTCATCTCGTCTTTTCTTCACTATTTCAGTCAATGCCGCCGCCCTCTTTAAGCATCTTTACCCCATATTCAACGCTTTCTTTTTCTTCTGGCTAACCTCGCCATCGTCCATCTTCAAAAGGGTTCCTCTGTTGCTCAAGGGATCCCATCACGCTTCAAGAGTTATTGGCTGCCCCTGACATAGCATGATCCACCAAACAGCAGCAAAGCGGCTCAAGAATGGACCTTTTAAATGGACACTCCGTGACTCCAAGACCTCACCCAAGACTGGCCGCGCCGCAAGGTTGCCGTCCTGCCGTCGTCAGGCATGGAAGTGGAAGCCGGGGAGGGTTTTGGCACCAGCCTGTAACAAGCAGACGACCCAATTAGGATCCAAGCAGGCCAATCATCGGTCAGACAAAGGTCTGTCACACGCTGCCAACTGGCCTCGTCAAGGGTGCCAGTGTGTGTCCACTGCGGGCACTTGAGCATGTCAGCATGTCCCACCACATTCCATTCGCACGCGCCCCCCTTCAAATAGAGAGAAGCACGAGGATTTGGATCCCTTTGACGATTTCGTACATAAAGATCTGACTGAGAACGCGATGCAACAAAGCCTCTTCACTAGTCCAGGCACCAGAAGCATTTTCGTACGAGACTGACCTTTTACAAGATTATTCATCGGTTGCCTCACTTTTTAGTTTTTGCTTCTTTCCATTTTCCACGACTCGAACGATACCGCCGAGTGTCCATCCGGCATGGTTTCCGCGTATGGGCCTCAATCCGCTACAAGATTGTTGCATCCACAAATAACTCCTCAGGACATCAACAAAGACCCATCCCATCGAAGAGATCGGCGCAAAATTAAGCAGGGTCGTTGACTCGTTTCGTCCTTCTCTTCACGACCTGCCATTCCAGCTCCTGGAGTTTGTTTGAGCCTTCTGGGTCTCAACAATGGCATCTATGAAGCTTCGGCACTGGTTCCTCGGTCTAAATTATATCGCTGCCGTCTCATCAAACATTCTAATCAAAGCCAGGGATCACTTCAACGGTGGCGAACCGCCGTCAGTTTGGACGGAATAAACAAAAAACGCATAGTCTTCGAGGTAACTATCATCGAGGGCATCCGTCCCAACAACGGTCGAGAACCGATCACCGTCAGATCCGGCTTAATATCCGGATTTCCATGTCCATCACGATTGAGCTTGAACTCGGGTCCGGGGGCAGAGAACGTACACTCACACCGGCCTCTAGGAGACAACACTTGAGCGCCTCCAGATAGACAGTTTGTTGAGTCGAAATACAGTCTAATCAAAAACTGGCCTACACAGTGTCATCGCCTCTCAAAGTGGTATTTCATCTGGCCGCTGGTTGATACTCATCCCCCGTTTTGTCATGGAGACGTCACTATTTAGACTTGGAATGTCGTGCGCTGAGAAAGGAGGCAACATCGTCCCCGACTTTCTCTGGTTTGTCCACAGACAGTTTCTTTAATCGATACTCATTGGTACCAGTATACCGCTTAGATCTTTCCTTTGAAGTTCAAGTTATGGGCGAACAAGCCCCAACGCTGTCAGCTGGTAACTGAGAGCTGGGCCAGAAACTCGGCGGTTCCATGGTTAGGTAATTTGAGTTGGAACGACACAGCACCTCGCTCCTTCCAGTTGGAGACAGAAAAAGGAAGGCACATCTGTCCGCCTGCCTGTCCGATCATTCCGTTTATCGTAATGATTGGCCGGTGATCCTGCATTGTCCCTTAACATGCGTGTCTCCCGTTGGTCAATCTTCCCGTTGAAGGACGCGGCGCTCTTACTTGCCATCTCCCTCTACTCGTCAGGTTTAGAAGCAACCCTCCCTCCAGCTCTGACGAGTAGGTGTGGTATCTCTGCTTATATAACATGGGGCTGGAGGTAGAATGAGCGGGGGAGCGAAGCTCTGCCCACTGCAACTATCTTGAGCTCAACACATCCATCGCAAGACTCCTCTCCAAAGAATTATCCTCCCTTTGTGATGAGTTCCTTTATTTTCGATACCGACCTGAAGATGTTGCCTTGACAGACGTGGCTCCTTCTCTTCTCCTCCTACTGCCCTTCTCTTCTTACTGATTGATACCGTTGAAGATACTCTTTAACAACCCCGTTGAAAGCGACCACCTCGAATAGCGGGAGCTGCTTCTTATCATCCTCCATGATCGGGGCCAAGTATCGCGTACCTGATCACGGACGATGAACCCACCAGTCTAATGACGAGAGATGGCCCGCCAACACAGTCCTCAGGAGCTCGTCGTCCTACGTCGGGGAGCAGTGGTGTGGTACTCAACCGCCTATGCAGCCGGTGCTCATGGGCACTAAGAAGGACTGAGGCACATTGGCAATGAATACCCCCAATCAACTACAACATATCTGATCTGTCGCAACTACATTCTGGCCCAAGGGTCTACGAAACAGATGAGTTCGACAAACACCCGCATAGTCAGAATCGCAATGAGCTGTTGGAATCAATTGCTACCGGCTGCCATCTGTGTACACAAGTCGTCAATATTGAACAAATCGACGGTATGTGTGTTTTTTTGTAAGGCGCGGTGTTATCGATTACTGACGGCAAAGTAGGCGATCAGCATCTCTTACCTAAACGGCTACCAGACGGTTCGCGCGAAGCCTTCGGCCTCGTCTGTCACTGGCTGAATGACTGTCTCGAAAATTATCCGGAATGCAAAGGAGGAAACTTCGAAAGTCTCTCAACACGGCTCATCGACGTAGGCCGATCTGAACCACTCACGCCGCGAATATATGTCCCTGTGAGCCCCCAAACAACGGCCAAGACGCCATACCGCACCCTCAGCCGCCCTTGGGCGTTGACTGGAGATTCCCTGAGACTGACAACAGAAAATATCGACGAGTGGCAAGCTGGTGGGATACCACTTGATGGCTTAGCACAGACATTCTGTAATGCTATGCGTATCACACACCAGTTAGGCTATCGATATATTTGGATCGACTCTCTCTGTATCATGCAAGACTCCCATGAAGATTGGAATAGGGAGGCCCATACAATGGCCTCCGTCTACGGGAACTCCTTGCTCACCATTTTCGCTACCAGAATAGGCAAAACCGACACTTGCTTTGCCACGAGAAACCCTTTAGAAATATACCCCTGTGGACCCACTCTTACACCCGAAGCACTGCTTCGGCACGGCGGAGACGGTGCTAGCACAATTTCCTCATTTTTTGCTGTATCTGAAAGGCAAACGATACTTGGAACCAACCCCCACTCCTATGCAGAGGTTGGGTTTTTCAAGAGCGCCTCCTATCTTGCCGCATCATCTACTATGGAGCCGAGGAGCTTTACTGGGAGTGTCTTCACCACGTGGTGTCCGAAAGTTATCCGTTTGGGAGGGTCCTGACACGTACTGGTTTCGAAGATTCTGATCACCACTACACCGTCAAGTCGGTCTACCAGGAGTTACTGAACAACAAATCAGGGATGGACGAGCTCCGCATGTCTAGAGTTGCTGCGGATTGGGCATTGCTGGTCCAGTATTACACTATAACAAATCATACGGATGCATCGGACAGACTCGTTGCGCTCGCTGGCATTGTTAGAGCAATCGAGCAAAGCAGAGGCTTTACCTACCTCTATGGGAGCTGGAGGGAGTTCTTCCCACTTGATTTACTCTGGTCCCTCGACAGTGGCCAACGTCTAGAACTTTTCGAAGCTTTGTAAAAGGCGGCGCGAAAGGGGTCCCAAAAACCGTCTAATGCGAGTAGCGCAAGCATGGGGCTCTCACAACGGAAATTACCCTCGTGGTCTTGAGCAGCTACAGAGGGGCCCAAATCATACCGGTTTTTGGGAGGATACCACCTTGAATACAAAGACGACGATCGCGGTGCTGGTCACTATGCTTGGAAGTGTCCGGTTGATGTCCTCGACTGCAATCAGGGTGGGTTCCCTTCAAGGATGCACGACAGGCTCTCAGACCAGGGGCACGAAGGAGCGAGCAGACACATGGCAACCCTGATATTGAAAACCTATTTGAAACCATTATATGGAGAGGTTAAATTTTAGACTCAAAAGATATCAAGCTCACCAAGTTTCTTCTTGTTATCTTGAAAGAAAAGAACAAAAAGCTGCAAAGGAATACACAAGTTGTGCACGCAACCTTTCGACTTCTTGACTTCCCTCCGCTCCATCCTTCTCCGACATGACATCGTGGGGCGTAGATCAAGTGCGGACATCATCATCCCCATTCAGCAACAAACAACCCCTTATACAGATGGCAAAAAGATCAGACAAAATGATATATACAGGCTAGCATGCATACTATGTGTATGTATTTTGTTATGTAAACTACATCAAGAAGATTATCCAAAGACATTAGGTTCAGACAGCCTGGTGCATGAACTACATCTATGGTACTTGCCCACAGGAGCCATGATTGCAACAGGAGAAAAAATAAAAAAGAACTGAAGAGAAGAAGATTCTATGTGATACCCATACGTATTCCTTTTCCTTAGAAACAGGTTATATACACCAAAATTATGAAAACTTTCAATTTCCCGAAAATGATTTTACCTCCCCCCTCTCTTCGAGTCTCCCGCTCATGGAAGTGACAAAAAACACAATCCGCGAACTGTTCCAAAACTAACACAACTACATGAGTGAGCCAACTGATGGAAACAACCACATACGACCATAGATGGTAGAAAACTCGGGATCCCGTCCGCTCTCCCATAGATAAGCTACCAATCGCCAGACTAGTAGTTGGGTCGGTGACGACCAGCGAATCCCTGGTGTTGTATGTTTTTTTGCCTATTTTTCGCTTCATTATTCTTTTCTTCTTCTTCTTTTTTTTCAACCCCGTCCTCGATTTTGACATAGTGCGTGTGTTTTGAGTCCAAATTCTTGCTGGTGTCCAGAATTTGGAGTTTTTTGGTGCTGCGTGGTGCAAAGAAAAGAAAATTGGACTTTGTTACTGTCCGGAGGCTCGCTATTTCGACACCGGTTACCTAACGAAGCTGTCGAGGAAGCCAATGGTATGTTACATGCATGAATTTGCACTTGAACTTCCAACCCATAACACAATCATTCTTGTTTCCAAGATGGACATTGAAAGAAAAAGACAGAGTAAAGATGTATAAAATGACAAAGACCTATTCGGCTATCATCCAGATTTCGCTTGTCTCCCTACCGGCCACATACCCATCCAGTTATAGCCACATTCCTGAACCATATACCACATCCGTCCCAAGCTAGGGAGACCAGCGTCTGGAACAAAAGCAAAGAAAGACGCAGCGGTCATAACTAGACGATTACTTCAAATTCAAGTAAACCTTCCATCGCTGCTGTCACCAGAGTATCAAGTGCCTGGGGCCAACCCGGCAACCCTTCCGCTATGACGCGGACGTTTCCCTCAAATCCCAAAATACGCCTCATCACCCAATTTCCACTTGCCTTCACTCATCGTACAACCTGATATCCCAACTTCCTATAACTTACCTTGTCCATCTCACTTCTTCCCCCATTTATTCACCCCCGAACAAACAATATGAAATCCCAAATTTAGGCAGGTCCCTGACTCCTCGTCTTCCTCTGCGTCAAACCCACCGGCTTCAGAATCTTCCTCGCCGCCTTCTCAACCTTCTCCGCCGCCGTCTTCTTGGGTCTTCCCGGCGCCCTCTTCACAGGGGATGATGCACCATCACCATTCGTCTCTCCCTCCCCAGTCTTGGCTCTCTTCGCATCGCCGTTGACCTCCTCCTCGTCGTCATCATTGTCCTCATCGTATTCTTCCGCCTTCCTCTTCTTACTAGCCAAAGAAGCCGGAGCAGGAGCAGGTGCAGCCTTGACTCCTGCCTGGGCTTGTGTCGGGTCCGAAGCCTTGGCGACGGTTTCCGAGGGGGCGGTCTTCATCTCCGTATCACCCTCCTCATCCTTCTTCGCGGCACCAGCCACTCCGTTCGTGCCATTCTCTCCCAGTGGTGCAGCGGCCAGCGCTTGATCCGGGCTGGTTGCGGCAGCCTCCTTTGCTTCGTTGACCTTCTTCTCGATCTTGCCTTCAGTAGACTCCTCCTTGGCAGCCTTTTCCAAGTCTGGAGCCGCCTCCCCGTTAGGCATGACCATCCCTGCGCCCGCGGGGCCACCGGCCGATGCATCTTCTGCAGATCCCGCCAAGCCGTCACCGGTCGGCACAGCATCCGAGCGAGGATTCTCGTGGACTTTCTCGGGAGCCGGGGCGGCGGCGGCGTCAAAGATGGCGGTGGTAGTAGGGGCAGAAGGAGTGGCGGTTTCGAAGCCGTGGAACTCAGAACCCGCGGCGGTGGGCTCTAGAGCCATCTTCTCGGCGACGACTTGTTCTTCGGTGGGGAAGGTTTTAGGTTTCTCGGCGGCATCCTTCTTGTCGTTGTCGGGATGAGCGTCGGTGGCGGGCTTGAGGTTGTCGGTTGCCGCCCCAGTGGGCTTACTTTCGGTGGTGGTGGTGGCGGCTACGTCTGCCATTGGGACGGGTGCGGAGGCCGAGGCGGAGCCCGTGTCGTCTGGTTTGGTGGTAGTGGTGGAGGGAGCGGTGGATTGCTGCTCAGCTGTATGATGAAGGCCAAGAGGAGGGAGGCTAGGTGTCAGTTTGACTGTAACTATTGTGTTTAAGGGTTTCTCGGGGGTTTGATTGATAATCGAATTGGGACGGGCAATGATAAATCGGGTCTTGATGGTGATGTTGATATTGAATAGGAGGTTGTTGTCAAGGGCGATGGTGGTGGTGAAGGGCGGTGATGGCGCGTGGGCGAATCAGAAGAGGAGCGCACAAGGATTCGCCAATGCGCTTCGTGTAGCAGGTAGATGGCGCGAAACCGTGTAATTCCGTCTCCTGATGATGAATTCGAAGCACCAGTCTGAATCCTAGATCCAATTGTTCTCATACAGAATACCGTGCTCGTGTCGCGAGGGCATCTCCGACTCACCTTTGTTGACTTGGGCGGACATTGTGATGGTGTGTGAAAAGAGGCGATGACGTAGTTCGGGAGGATACCGTGAAGAGGTCGGGGTGCGCTGTGTGATTTGAGTGGAGGAGGAAAGGCTCGGCGGGTCTAGAATCTGGGGAAATGCGCAGGGGTTGGTTCGACTGTTGGGAGGGATGGTGATGTTGACGATGGAAGCAAATGCTGATAGTGTCGATAATGGGTAGAAAGCACGCTAAAAAAGATGGTTGGTTGTAAAGATGAAGAATGTCTTAAAGGTCGAGTTAGGTCTGGGCAAGGTAAAGACTGTGTGTTGGTCAGGAACAGAAAGATGGACAAGGACCGCGGTCGCTTCCAGGGTTCCTGTTATGGCTGGTGATGTGCACTGATCAACTGTGAAATCCCCATTCGTTCCTTCAGAGTAGAGTCGACGAATCGGAAGACCAAAATAGTCGGAACAATAGAAGGGCCGGGAGCTGGTTGTACGAAGTCCATATCTCTTTACCGTGGTTGTGTTATGCAAAGCATTGATCATCACCATAAACTGGGAAAACTGTACAGAGGCATCCCTCTCTGCCGTTCCTAGTTGTGCATTGCAAGAAGCGAGGCAGATAAAGTAATTGTGTAATCTATAAAGTAATAGTATCTAACTAAAGAAGCAATGTACCTCAAATCCCATTTCTTTCTATTATTTGGCAGCCCTATGAATGCTAACAATGCGCTAAAAGAAGTGTTACAAATTATACGCAAGGAATATGGGCTAACTAAGCTACCGGTACACAACAGCCATATAAAAGCTAGGCAGTATAACTATGACAAGAAAGGAAGGCTCATAAAGGTAGGCCAAGCTCATGAAGGCGAGCTAGGCCCATAGAGTCAAGCCAAGCTCACGAAGATAAGCTAGCCTATAGGCAGTGAGCCAGTATTAAAGGGTTCACGTCTACGTGGACATCTAGAAATAGATATCTCGCAAAGGGCGAGCAGGTATAAAGGGACTACGGGAGAACTTAGATTGTCAGATAGTTCGACAGTAGTCAATAGATCATTATCACCGAAATCAGTATTACAAATATACTTGTTGTGAACATTTTAACTTTACTGAACAGTACTGATAGTTACTACCTTTAGCTTCTTATTTAGGCAGATCAGACTGCTGTTTGTCACAAGAAGTGCCTAAACAGTATTTAATAATAAACTTTTGAAATAAATTTGTTTTCGCTTGTCCAAATAGAAATTTAATTTAAAAGTAGGCAAAAGCAATAATATTCATTCAAATGTTCATCCGAGACTAGAGCGCTAAGGTACCCCGCTTATTATTGATAGCAATATTCAACCCTGAACTTATCTTTTACCATATACCTTAATATCTAAGAAATAGTTTAGAGAAATATCAATAAGAGAGAAGAGAAGAAAAAAAAAAACTAAAAAAAAAAACTATATTACTCTATACATCCTAAAGCCTTTTCTGCTTTAGTCTCTCAATGTCAATATTGTTGTTGATGTGCGACTCCTTTGGATTAAACACTGTTACTTTATTAGCTTATATAGCTACTTTATTCGTCTCGGGAAGAAATAACCAGCGTCTGCTAAAACTTCCTTTTATACCACATTTCTACTGCTTCATCTTCCAAGCAACGGCTAGCAAATTTGTACCTGCAGATCTTCTAGAACGTTCAGTGCGAATTTGTACCTGCAGATCTTCTAGAACCTTCAGTACGTTGGCCTGTTAGGCATACAAGAAAATGCCACCAGTGGTATAGAGCAGACGTCAGGACAACCTGCAAGCACTCTCACCTATGGCCAAGTTGCAGAGAGCTATGACCATCTCGTTCAGTTTCAGATGTGACTTGGCCAATAGCCTCCCAACTACCACCACTGCTACCGAAATCTTTGAAGACTGAATTGTTGTCTTTTATCCATAAAAACCCTATTAGATGGGCCACAGAACACTTCGTTGTTCAAGACATGTGTCATTCGAATGTCGTCTTGCTCGGTCTTTGGTCGGTGTTTACTCCATGCATGGTGCCATTGTATATCAAGGGACCACCGCACATATACAGTAGGTACACCATGGTACACTACAGTACCTACCTCCACCTACCGTGGGGAGCTTTCCCCGCCATGACGTGTGCTCCGAGCTGTTACCTACACCACCTGAGCTCTGCTAACACTCTAACTCAACACATAACACAACGCTTTTGACGCTTTTGAAGCTTTGTCTGCCTCATCACAAGCTGAACTGGGCTGATGGAGCTGAATGCCTTCCAGAAGGCTGACCATTTCCACCAAAGATATTGACCTTCCCAATTCTGTTAGGATCCCAACCAAAGGTAAGCGTATCTCGTGGTCGAGATCCCTTGGCTGCTTTCCCAAGAATGCAAAACCAAGACCCCGTCGGGTGCATATCAAAGGGTCCGGTGGATTTGCTCGAGGGAGAACAAAAAAAATTATCAATGGCGTCAGTTTGGGGTGTCACTTACGGTTCGCTCTTAGTGTTAGTTGAGCGGCAGACGGTAGCGTGCCAACCCTAACACCGACCACCTCATTTCACTTTCAACCTTCCTGATTTCATCATCATCTCCACAACCCGCAACTGAACCTTTCATGGCTTCAATCCCAACCCCGCGATTCCACCTGCCGGCAACTCTGCCCGTAAATAGTTTCCATCCGATTGTGGCAGTCAAGCATGAGGCCAAGATGAGCCAAGATGGCCAAGATAGGGGCCAAGCAACATTCCCATAACGTTATTCGCCACGTGAACCATTCGGTGGATGAGATCGTCCCGACAAACGCCAAGAGTGCTATCAAAAGGGGGCTGTGTACGTACCTGGTCGGTGCTGGGCGTTCTCGGCCGTCACATTCCTTCGGTACAGTTCCACCATACGGCGCCGCGTAGGGGCATGCACGGCGCCGTACCTTGTCTCCGTCCGGCCTTCCAGAACCTCAAACTCGGTTCACACCTCCCAAGCCGACGCCGAGCCTTGGTGCCAAGACCGACAACTTCTTAAAACATCTTTGCCAATGCTCGGCCGCAGCCTGTTGGTCCTATCAAAACCGGTTGCGGAAAAGCCTTCGCTTTGTCGAGTGCCCGCTCTCTAACAAACTCGACACTCCATCGTCTGAGGTTGAGCTCATCGCGATCGCCACTCCCTACCCACCACCCAGCAGGGTCTTATCAAGCCCAGCCCGAAGCTCACTGGTAGAAGGGCTCTGCCGCGCCCGCAACCTTCTTGGCCGGGAGCATCAAAGGTCTTGGACGGTTGGGATAAACTTCTTGGTGTTTGCTTGGCTGTCGTTATGCCCAGACAAAGTTGCTGCGAGGTTGATCGGTGGGCAGGTTGAACATGTTGGAAGTTGGACCCAGTTTGATGGCTGACGGAGAAGCGGTCATGACGGCGAATGCCCGCGTTTAGATACTTAAGAAAGTCATGTGCCCAACTTCCGAATCCAACTGAAAACACCTGCTGTTGATGTACCTCAACTTTCAACCTGCACGCTTGGAATAATAAAAGGAACGGAAGAACAACAGACCCCCCAGTTCTAGACTTCCGCACACAAACTGGGTGCTCAGACCTCCACGTTCCTACGAAGATCCCTTCTTTTCCCCCCAAAACGAGACAATACATCATCCGTGAGCCGCCTCAGCTCGGACCGTAAATATCTTGTTTGCCATCTCGACAACATATTGACCATCCTCCAGAGCATTGTCACAAACACCATCGAACCCATGCCATAATGGCAGAAGCCCAGTTCCCCAAACATCCCTTCCTTCTCTCTGTACCAGAGGTCGAGAAGGCTCTCGACACACGAATCGACAATGGTCTGTCAACGAACCAGGTGCCGCAGCTGCAGCAGAAGTATGGCGAGAACGAGTTGGAAGTAGGCAATACCATTGCCTGGTACACCATCTTCATCAAACAGCTATGCAATGCCATGGTTTTGGTTCGTACCCCATTTTCCCTCCCAAAACATCAACTCGGATATCATAGCGGTAGAGTTCAAAGCTGACTTCTGGATATAAATGTTAGGTCTTGATCTTCGCCATGGCGCTGAGCTTTGGCGTCGAGGATTGGGTCGAGGGTGGCGTTCTCGCGGCTGTCATCATCCTCAATGTCGGAATCGGATTCTGGCAGGAATACAGTGCCGAGAAAAAGATGGACGCCCTTCGAGCGCTCTCGTCCCCCAGTGCTAGCGTACTTCGTGATGGCAAGACTTCGGTTATTCCCAAGTAAGTTGCCATACGCAACAACACCCCCGATAACCAGACAGCCTGCTAACCAGGGACTGTAATGCAGCGCTGAGGTGGTTCCCGGTGATATCGTCCTTCTCAAGATGGGCGACACCGTCCCTGCCGATCTCCGCATGTTTGAAGCCATGAACCTGAGCTGCGATGAGTCCTCTCTGACAGGCGAGGCCGAGCCTGTCGAGAAGATCACGACCAACGATATCGTGGTTCCGGGCACCGAGAAGCCAGCACAAGACGAAGGCGAACTTGGCATCGGTGATCGCATCAACATCGCCTACGCCACCACCATCGTTCGTAAGGGTCGCGGTCGCGGTATCGTTATTGCCACTGGCATGAAGACTGAAGTGGGTAAGATCGCTGCCTCCACGAGCAAGAAGCAACGCAAGGCCGGTAGGTCGATGAGCAGGAAGCATGGTCATCTCCAGCCGGTCAAGGGAGCTGGCTTGCGCACGTGGGATTTCGTCGGCAAGTTCCTCGGTTTGACCGAAGGCACGCCGCTCCAGATCAAGCTGTCCAAGCTTGCGTATACCCTCTTCTTCTGCGCCATCTTGCTGGCCATCATCGTCTTTGCCGTCAACAAGTTTAACATCCCCAATGAGGTCATCCTGTATGCCATCTCCACTGGTATCGCCATCATCCCGGAGTCTCTGGTTGCTGTCTTGACCATGACCATGGTCGTGGCTACGGCTGTTATGAGAAAGGCCAACGTGGTTGTCCGCGATCTCTCTGCTCTCGAGGCCCTAGGAGGCGTCACCAACATTTGCTCCGACAAGACGGGCACGCTAACACAGGGTGCCATGATCGTCAAGAAGGCGTGGCTTCCGCCGTCCAACGTCTACACCGTCCGCGACTCCACCAACCCCAGCAACCCAACTGAGGGCAAGGTAACTTTCTCTCCGGATGACGCCAGGACCAACAAGGAGGAAAAGGAACGTGATTACGACCAGGAGAGAACCACCCAGGCCATCAAGTTTGACGTGCCGGAAGGCGAGAACGAAAAGCCCAGGCAGCCCAAGACGTCGGAGATCGATGCCGAGGTCACCCCCGAGCTCAGGTTATTCCTCCATGCGACGGCGCTCTGCAACCTTGCCACAGTCCGGTTTGACGAAGAATCTGACGGCTGGAAGACCACTGGAGAACCCACGGAAATCGCCATCCAAGTGTTTGCCCACCGGTTCGACCACGGAAAGAAGTCCATCGAGGGTAAGGGCTGGAAGCAGGTGGCCGAGTTCCCCTTCGACAGCAGCATCAAGCGCATGTCGGTCGTCTACATCGCGCCCAAGGACAACGAGCTCGAGTATCCCTCTGAGAACAGCATTGTGTTTACCAAGGGCGCCGTGGAGCGTATCCTGGATCTGTGCTCCAACATTGGAACCGGCGAGAACCAGCAGCCCATGTCGGAAGAGCTTAGGAACCGCATTCTGGACCAGATGACCGACTTTGCCTCCCAAGGCCAGCGTGTCCTTGCCGTCGCGTACAAGCCGTGGAACGGCCAATACTCTGCCCCCGAAGAAGCCAAGAAAGGTGACGATTCCGTTCGTGCTCAGGTTGAGGAAGACTTGACGCTGCTTGGTCTGGTCGGCATCTACGACCCGCCCCGTCGTGAGACGACCGGTTCCATCAGCACCTGCGCCACCGCTGGTATCAAGGTTCACATGCTTACGGGTGATCACCCGGAAACCGCCAAGGCTATTGCCAGGGAAATCGGCATCATTCCTCGCAACCTGGGTGTGTTCCCGGCGGCCGTGGCTGAAAGCGCCGTCATGAAAGCCACCGATTTCGACAAGCTGTCGGACGAGGAGATTGACAACCTTGCTGAACTTCCCCTGGTTATTGCCCGTTGCGCCCCCGAGACCAAGACAAAGATGATTGAGGCCCTGAGACGAAGGGGCGCCTTCATGGCCATGACCGGTGACGGTGTCAACGATGCGCCATCGCTCAGCCGGGCGGACGTCGGTATCGCCATGGGATCTGGTTCGGATGTCGCCAAGTCGGCGGCCAAGATTGTGCTGACAGACGACAAGTTCAACAGTATCGTTGCTGCCATCCGCGAGGGTCGCCGCATGTTTGAGAACATCCAGAAGTTCATCCTCCACTTGCTGAGCAGCAACGTCGGCGAAGTCATCCTGCTCATTGCCGGTCTGGGTTTCCGTGACAAGGCCGAGTTCTCCGTCTTCCCCATCTCGCCGCTCGCCATTCTGTGGATCAATATGGTTACCTCCTCCTTCCCGGCCTTCGGCCTCAGCAAGGAGCCCGCCTCCCAGGAAGTGATGAGGAAGCCGCCGCACGACCGCAAGCGGGGTGTGTTCTCGAACCAGGTGCTCGTGGACATGATCGTGTACGGCATTCTTATGGGGACCTGCACGCTCATGACTTTTGTCATTGTGGTTTACGGCAAGTACGGCGGCGACCTGGGCACAGACTGCAACAAAAAGTACAGCGACTCGTGCATCCCCGTGTTCCGGGCCCGCGCGGCCGTGTTCGCGCTGCTGACGTGGCTGATCCTGCTCAGCGCGTGGGAGTTCAAGGACATCCGCAGGAGCATGTTCCACCTCAACCCGGACAACAACAAGAAGTTTGCCGTGTTCCACGACCTCTGGGCCAACAAGTTCCTCTTCTGGGCCGTCCTCATCGGCCTCGTCAGCGTCTTCCCCACCGTCTACATCCCCGGCCTCAACAGGAACGTGTTCAAGCACACCAACATCAGCTGGGAGTGGGGCGTTGTCATCGGCATGTCCATCGTGTACGTCGTCGGCATCGAGTGCTGGAAGGCTGTCAAGCGCCACACCGGTATCCTGGATGACCACAAGGTGCCGCAGAGCGCGTGGACCCAGGGCGACGATGGCGGAAAGATGAAGCGGACTATGAGCTTCTCACTCTCAAGGAGCTTGGGGCGCACCAAGAGCTTCTTGAGGACCATGACGAGCTCGACAGCAGGAAACCCTGCTGCTGCTGATGAACGACAACAGGTCTAAAGGGGCGCCCATGTTGACTGATGTCTTTGACCTTTGTTGATTTTTGGGTTTTGAGTTTTGTTTTTGCCTGTTTTCGTTACAATGTTTGCGACAGATATACCCGGTCTCGGCTCAACTTGCGAGCAAATTGTTGGCTAACGAGTTGGATGCCTGATGTTGGGTCTGATATATTGCCTGTGATGGTTGAATATTATTATGGCCGTTTCTCTTTTTTCGAGAGCATGATGTTGACGAAGATGAGGGAAAGAAAAAAAGAGATGGGAGGATTAATGAGGGATAAAATGATGTGTATGGGTATTTTTTTCTGTTTTCTTTTCATGTGTTCAAGTTTGATACCACGACGCTCTTGGCCTTTGTTGTTCTGAGCGTTGTTTCCTGTATATAGAGAGGAAGTACTAGTGAAGTTAGAATACATCATGGAGCGATAGTTGAAAATGAACGAGTCGCCAGAAACATGGGACTTCCGGCGTTGTTATGTTGGTGATACTCTTCAGTGGTGTGATGGGTACCTCATGTTGACCTCACGTTTACACCTACCTGAAATTGCTAATGCAGATTTCTGTGTCTGCCCTAGCAAAAAAGCGTGATGCCCTCATAAGATTAGTCAGATTCACTAGTTCACGTCTCTTCCTTGATGGTGTTTTCCTCCAGCCAAAAAAAAAGGGGGGCTTCCTTGAGACGTTAGAGCTTATCGATAAGGAAATCATCGTCACTTCCACTTCAGGGGCTGCTGTTAGTGCAACCCTGACCCTGCACTCGTTCATTACAGGGCAGGCACCACGTAGCCTAGCACTTCCCTTCCCCAGCGCCCAGTGACAGCGACCGGGTCCCCTGAGCCAGGCCGCGTAAAGGACACCTCGAACCTCCACTGACGCGAGCACCACTTCCAGCATTCATCGCCGGCACACCTTCCTTATCACGACAATTCACTTCGATCCATTCCTTCGTCGACAGCCGCTCGTTTCCCCAATTTCAACAGTATCGTAATAATCAATTCAATCATCATGGCTCCCACCAAGACCACCGGCAAGGATGTGTACTCGGTTATCCTGCCGACCTTCAACGAGCGCCAGAATCTCCCCATCATCACCTGGCTGCTCAACCGCACCTTTACTGAGCAGTATGTCACTGGTTTCTGTGTTCCAATTGGCGTCGACCATATCCCTAGTCTCTAGTTACTGACTTGCCCTCCACCAGAAACATCGACTGGGAACTCGTAATCGTCGACGACGGCTCCCCCGACGGCACCCAAGATGTCGCCGCCCAGCTCGTCAAGCTCTACGCTCCACACGTGCAACTACAAACCCGCACAGGCAAGCTCGGCCTCGGCACCGCCTACGTCCACGGCCTCCAGTTCGCCAAGGGCAACTACATCATCATCATGGACGCCGACTTCAGCCACCACCCCAAGTTCATCCCCCAGATGATCGCCAAGCAAAAGGCCAGCAACTACGATATCGTCACGGGCACCCGCTACGCCGGCGACGGTGGCGTCTACGGCTGGGATCTCAAGCGCAAGCTCACCTCCAAGGGCGCCAACATCTTTGCCGACACCGTGCTCCGCCCCGGTGTGAGCGACTTGACCGGTTCCTTCCGGTTGTACAAGAGGGACGTGCTGGAGAAGCTGTTCCAGAGCACGGATATCCGTGGTTTCACCATGCAGATGGCTCTGGCTGTTACGGCCAAGTCCCAGGGCTTCTCGATTGCCGAGGTGCCCATCTCCTTCGTCGACAGAGTCTATGGCGACAGCAAGCTCGGTGGCGAGGAGATTGTGGAATATGCCAAGGGCGTTCTGCAGCTTTGGTGGTCCACGTAAAGCAACAAAGAGATGCGGCAACAGAGCAAGGCGAGCGATTTTCATAAGAAAAGGAGGCTACACGATATATAAAAGCTAATGGCTGGGCTGGGCTGGGCCGATGTACAAGTTAAGGTTGGGATCTGGGTGTTGCATGGCGTTTCATTTATCGTTTCGCGTTACATATCTTTCTGGGGGTTTTCAAGCACTAATTGACTGATGATAACGTTGAGTTCGTTTTTGGTCATGAATCACTTGTTGGATATCTCGCTCTATGCTACAACGACAACAAAAACAGCAACATCAACCGCTTAGCAATTCCTGCCGCCCGTCACGCTGATAGTCTGTCCAGAGATGTACGAGCTCAGAGGTGAGGCAATGGCCAGCACAGCACTGGCAGCCTCAGTTGCCGAACCGGGCCTCCTCAATGGGATATCCGCAAAGGGAACCGGCCCGCCGGTCTTCTGAGCATTCTGCTTCCCTGGAATACCCAAAGCAACCTTTTGACCATCAACCTCGACAAACGCACCGGCCTCCTTGTTGGCCGTCAACCGGGTCTCAATGTGTCCGAAAGCAATGGTGTTCGCCCTGACACCGAAAGCCGGGCCCCATTCCTTGGCGATCGTCTTGCTGAGGCCAACCACACCGGCCTTGGCCATGGCGTAGTTGAGCTGACCGGCGTTGCCGTGCAGACCGGAGGTGGACGAGATGTTGATGATGTTGCGGGGCTCGCCGTCCTTGACGCGGAAGAAGGGGGCGGCTTCGCGGATGAGCTTGAAGGGAGCGGTGCCGTGGAGGGCGATGATGGTTTCCCATTGCTTGTCGGTCATCTTGTACGTATGTGTTAGACATCAACAATTCCTATCTTTCTCATTAGGAAATCTAGGTCTCACTCACCTTGTGAATGACAGCATCCCACGTGAAACCAGCATTGTTCACGATAATGTGGATCTTGCCATTGCCAAACTCGGCAGCCTTCTTCACCAGCTCCTTGATGTAGTCGTCCTTGAGAAGGTCACCGGGGACGGAGATGGCCTTGCCTCCGGTGGCGTTGATCTTGTCCACCATGGCTTGGGCTTTGGCGGTGTCAATGTCGGAGACGACCACCTTAGCTCCTTCATTAGCGAAGAGTCTGGCGCACTCGGCTCCGATGCCCTGGGCGGCACCGGTAATGATGGCTACCTGCCCGGCAAGGAGGCCTTGGGGGTAGTTGAGGTGGCTGGCGATTTGCTTTATCCTGTCGGCCATGGTGATGGTTTGAGTATGTTTCTGTCTGGTGGAGTTGTCCTAGTAGTGAAAGGAACCGTTGAAGCTCTTTGAAGCTCTTGAACACGACTACAGGATCACCAGTGTTATGTACTCCAACATCTTCAACAAGGGATAGAATCATAGAACCCAGCCGAGGCACATCTCCAGTTGATCATCCCAATCGGCTCCATGTTACCCCATACCCCGCATATTGATCTGAAGTGTTACAGATGTCATCCCAATGACGCTTAACCCTTCCCGTCTTGTGGTATTCTTGAGATGGAAGATTCAACATTGGCCTTTTTCTTTATTTCTCAACAACTGAGGTCTCAAAAGCACAACCCCATTGTATTAACACTGATGTCGTCGATAATTATCAGGAACTCTGTTGTTTGGAAGATGTCAACAAAGAAACAATCATGACGGGATCACGGCAAGTTGTTGCCGTGGAAATGTTTCTCCAGGCCATCAGGGTGTCAAGGCACGACCCGGCACCCACGCAACAGCACCCCTGTCACAGCGTGGAGAAGCCGCCATGGGCTGCCCCCCAACCCACTGCGGGACCTGCCTTCCAGCGACTCCATCCGATGAATGACAGTGACACAATTCGCGATTTCGGGGGTGGGCAACAGCGTCACCGAATTCAGCTCCCAAACATCCCAAGTCAACAAAAACACCATAACCGACAAACCAAGATGCAAAGAAACAAGACCGGCAAAACGCCTTCAGGGCATCAGTTCTCACGATTAAAGCCCGCCGAGATCGATCCTTTGGCCGAATATGGCCTCCCTTCCAAGGGCGAGAAGAGGTGATTTCCACTCTTAACTCTAGCTCACCTAGCTCTCACAAAAACATCCCCACTGACATTATCACCACCGTACCACCAGGCTCTTAAACTACAAAACCCAAGAAGCCTACTACTCCAAGATCGCCGAGCGCTACCTCGCCTTCTGCACCGATGCTGGCGACCGCGACTCTCTCCAAAAGCAATTCTCCCGTCTAGCCTCGGCGACACGGCGACAGGACCAATAACACCAACGTCAACACGTCAAAACCCCTCCTCCCCGCCGGCTCAACATCAACACCACTATCCACCTCCCACTCCCACGACTCTTCTACATCATCACAACTCCCCATCCCACCCTCCTCCGATAACCTCTCTCAAATCCTCTCCGCCCTCCGCAAGCTCCGCGAAGCCCTCGTCGCCTCCTCGCGTCTCGACGACTTCACAACCCAAGTGTACCTCTTCGCCGTGCGCCTCGGCATCTTGTCCTCCTCCTTTGAGACCTACCTCCCCTCCCTTTTGTATCTGTTACGAGTAATCCACCGCTCTCCGTCGCACCCTTTAACATCCGTGGAACACCACGAGGTGGTGTCCTACCTGGTGCTAGACACGGCCTGTCGAAGGGGGGACCTGGCCGAGGCTTATTCTTTGCGGAACAAATATAAACTGAAAGATGCCAAAGTGGATGCCACGCTTAAAGCGCTGGTGATGGATGACTGGGTTAGTTGGAGACGGACCAAGAGAGCTGTGGATGGATATCGGGTTAGGTTGATGGAGTTTGCGGAGCCGGGGATAAGGGGACATGTGCTGAAGGCGTTTGGGAGGGCGTATTTAAGCGTTGGGCAGGAGTATTTGGAGGAATCGATGGGGATGAGGTGGGAGGAGATGGTGGAGCGGTTTGGGGTGGGTTGGGAGTTGAGTAAGGATGGACGGGTGGTTATTAGGAAGATTGGGGGGAGGACGCAATAAGGGGAAGGGGGTGAGGTTGGCGGGGTGTGAATCGGCGAGCGTGCTTTTGTTTAAGGCGCGATACATTTACTAGATACCCATTTTTCTTTTGCTTTGTTGTCTGAGGATTTGTGCAAGTCGAGTTTGGGGTGTCGGGTTGTTGTCGTTGGTAGGTAGTGCTATTGCACTGGGTTCCTCCTTGTGTATTCTTGTTCCAAGTCATCACTGCTCTTCTTCATTAACCGGCAGGACTCATGGGAGGGGGTGACTTCAAATTTGCCGGCTTGTCGCTCAGTGAGTGAGGGGTAACACAAACATCATATACTGGTACGTAATCTAAGTTGCTTTGCTTTGGTATTATTATCATTTCATTATATCGTATTCCTTTTCTCATACATAGGTAGGCAGGTAGGTATCCAAGGTCCGTTCTATCCGTCACCCCATCCCGTCCCTCATGGCCATTACATAGTACTGGGTATCCAAACAACGCTTATCGCTTGTCCCTCGCTTAAAGAAGGGCAACGGCAGCCATGAGACCACCAATGGCACCAAGACAGGCAGCAGCAGTCTGCCTGGGGCCGGGGTTGCTGCTCTGGGCACTGCTAGCCGCGCTGGCGATGCTGCTGGCGGCCGAGGACACGGCGGCGCCGCTGGAGCCAGTGATAGTGGTGGCGGCAGTGGAACCGGTGCCGGTGGTGACGACGGCAGTGGCGGACGCGCTGGTAGAGCCGGTGTTGGCAGCGGCGGTCGCGCAGGTGGCCTTGGTTGGGAAGTTTGTGGCTCCGTTGTTCTGGCAGAACTGTTTTGTTTGTGGAAGTGGGAGGTTAGAGGCTAATAATGATGACTGAAGGACATCTGTAACTTCATGACTATGGCGTAAACTTACAGTGACAGCGAAACCGGCAGCAGCCTCAATCTTGTCGGGCTCGCACTTCTCCAGGAGGCAGCACTGGATTTCCCTGACGAAGGTCTCGTCCTTGCAGATGCACTTGGGGTCGCGGTTGCAGTTGCCGATGCCGTTGATGAGGTAGGGTGTGGCACATTCTTGCTGTTTTCGGTAGAGGTAGTAAGTATGGGTTGTTACTTGGTTTTTGTTGTTGTTTGATTCCAAACACTCTTCAATGGACTAATACGATCCAAACCTGGAAAGTAGGTAGGTATGGAAAGGTGAAGAAGGTGAATGGATGGATGGATGGAAACTTACAGCGCAGCTTGGGAGGTTACCAAGGTCCTGGGCAGCAGCGAAGCTGGCGAAGGCAAGGGAGAAGAGGGCAGCGGTGACCTTCATGTTTGCGGTTGTTTGTGATGGTGATGCTGATGGATGGTTATGGTTGGAGGTCAGGTAGATTGGACGTTGAGTATTGTGTTCAAGAGATGGATGACGAGGACAATAGAGACAAGAAAAGAATTAACCGGGTGGTAGGTAGTACAGCACGAAGGGGAATGTGGGATTCAAACCCAATATAAAGATCCGAACGAGTGTCATTCCGAGCTTCCCCCAATGGGCGATGCCAATGGAGAAACACCAATCATGGCCCTGGAGTGATAGCGGCGGCCGCGGACCCCTGGCAGCTTCGCCTGGCCACCCGATCCCAAGCCAAGATCTGACGGTTTGAGTACCTGACCGTAGTGGAAGGCTGGTGGAAACCAATGAGAAGCTGGGGTTGAGCTAGGCAATGTGGTGAGAAACTCGGACTGACGCTAAGTTGTTGTGTTGAAACTCTCCCTTTTTTCTTGTCCTTTTATAATCAGATGATCCGGCTCTGTGGTTCTGGAAGTGTTACCGAGGTGAACCCGCCTGGGCTGAGTACCAAAATGTGTTTGTGTTTACCCGGCCCGTTGACCTTGTATAACAAAGACGTGCACCTTGCTACTTGGAACTCATAACTTTTAATGTTGTTGACGGAAAACAGAAAGCAAAAAGAAAACGAAGCATGGAATGACAGTGACCAATGTTTGGAACTGCTGATCAGGCCCGGAGTTACTCGCTCAAACGTCTCACCAAACATGTAGAGGTAGGATCTTTGACAGGAGACCGACCACCTGGAACTCTGGAAGGCCACCGATCCGGTCTTCGGTGCCTGAGCCTGCCTGTGTTTACCCTAGCTGCAGTCGTTTTGAAGCCAAAAGAAATGTTCTTGCGCATAAAACCTATGAAAGTTTGTTCCCTTCCGTTCCGTTCTCTCTTCAAACTGCAAAAATCGCAACTATCCGCAATTATTGTTCAGCCACAGCTCATTCAGTATCCAAGCTCTCCAGGGAAAAGCTTATAAGCAAACATTCAACAACACTGTCGGGGTTTCCATCGTGTCGGGTTATGCCCTGTTCACGATCGGGGAAGAGATGGACACCGACTCCGCTACAGCGCCAACGAACCGAACGGTGGAGAGAGTCCTCCACTGCGGAATCGGGCCTGATCCCAACTGAATGAGTCCAGCTTTCAGGGGTCGACGAGGGGCTGGTTCTGGGGTTGATGCAGTCCCCGGATTCTTTTAGCGGGCTGCTGATCATCCAGGGCTGAATCGATATGTTGAGAAAACCGCAAGTCGGTCAAGATGGCGGTCGTTATACTTGTCTCAAATTTCAAGCAAGAAGACAGGCTATGGAGTTTTGGAAAGCGAACATAGCTGGCTAAATCCGAAAAAGAGCGGTATCCCAAAAAGTTAAGACCAACGAAGCCATGGCGTTGGCAGACCATCATCAGATCCGTCACTCTCTCTCGTGAGATTTTGGTGGCTGACATCGGGTGGCACTTTTCCCGCCAAGACAGCAAAGACACTCGGTGATATTGGCCGGTAAGCTCCGAGCAGTCAGGCGTCGTGAATACATAGCCCTGGAAAAAAGGAACATTGGGTTTCAGCAGCTAGCTAGAGAGACCAGTCAGAGAACAGGTCCCGTCACCTCGGAATTTCCACTGAATTCCTCTGCGGCCCAGTTCGTTGAATGGTTACCAATCAGTTGTTATCACCGAACGAATCTACACCTGCTTACATGCAAGTAGAAGACAGGACCCTGTCGACATCATTGTCGCATTTGCTCATCTGTTTGTGTGTTTTCTTGTGGTCGCCATAGCTTCGGTTTGACTACCTTTGACGGCACGAGCCGCGCATCCAGAAAACAAGCTGTCTTGATCGTGATGCCACTCACACTTTGAAGGCTTCTCGAGCTCTTTATAATTCTGGTACATACCCAGAATCCTATTCAGACATCGTCAGAGACCGAGGCGCAAGATGGGTTTGGGAATTCTGGAGGACCGAGTCCTTGAACATGTCCCTGGTGTGTGAAGACATCCATAGTTCCCAAGCCCTCATCAACTACTCAAACAAAGCCTGTACACTACTAACCATCATACCCACCAGGCACAACACAATACTTCGATGACCCAGAGAGACCACAATATGCCACCGAGGGCACTCATGAACACCTCAAATGCGACCGAAGCGGCCCGGTGCCCATCGTCCTCGTCCCTCGACCAACAGATGACCCAAATGATCCTCTAAACTGGCCGCTCTGGCGCCGCGACCTCATCACCCTCGTCCTCTCCATCACCTCCGTCTTCGCCACGGCTTTAGGCCCCATTCTCGCCGCTGACACCGTTCTCCTCGTCAGCACGCTCGAAAACGTCACCTTCGTCAAAGCCTCCCTCTTGACCGGTCACTTCCTCCTCGGCTGCGGCGCGAGTGCCTTCCTCTTTGTCCCGTCCAGTCGCATATGGGGCAAAAGACACTTATTCATTCTGGGCACGATACTCCTGATAGTCACGAGTGTGTGGACAGCTGCTTCAGGTAGTAAAAGCTACACGAACTTCCTATGGTCGAGGATCTTCCAGGGCGTCGCGGCCGCCCCCTTCGAGTCTTTGGTGAATGCGGCCGTAGGCGACCTGTACTTTGTCCACGAGCGCGGCAAGCGCATGGCTTTCACCAACCTTGCTGTTTTCGGCGGTGCTTTCTTTACTCCCATTCTCGTCGGCAAGATCAGCAACGACATGGGCTGGCCGTGGACGTTTTGGTTCGTCGCCATATTCTCGGGCGTGTGTCTCCCGGCTATTTTTCTCTTTTGTCCGGAAACCGCCTATCCTCGTGACTCGACACCACGATTCTCGGCGGCGGCGGCGGCGGCGGCAACGAAGAACGACAGCGGTCTTGACCAGGAAGCTAAAGAACACGCAGCTCCGTCCACGGACAGCACAATCATCCCTGAACCCCCCGCCGCCACCACCACCAAAGACGAAGTAAACCACAACACCTCAACCTCAACCGAAACCCAGAGGGACATCCCACCAAAAGCAACCTTCATTCAATCCCTCGCCCTCTTCAACGGCCGCAAATCCACCGACTCCTTCTGGAAACTCACCCTCCGCCCACTCCCCCTCCTCTTCCACCCGGCCTTCCTCTGGGCCTGCCTGATCCAAGGCCTGCTAATCGGATGGACCGTCTTCATCGGCGTACTAATGGCCTTCTTCTTCATTGCCGTGCCGCTGTGGTGGGACGAAGTGCAAACGGGGTACGCCTACACGGGGGCGTTTGTCGGCGCCTTGATCGGGTTCGCTGTAGCTGGCGGGTTGTCGGACTGGTCTGCGCGCAAGATGACAAGGTGGAATGGCGGCGTGTATGAACCCGAGTTTCGGCTGGTGTTGGTGCTGCCGCAGATGGTGCTGGGGTGTGCGGGCTTGTACGGGTTTGGGATCACGCTGGATGGCATGTTGTGGGGCAAGTATCATTATGCGGTACCGCTGACTTTTTTCGGGCTGGAGGTTGCGGGGTGGTGATTGGAGCCGTGGCGGGGAGTCTTTATATTGTTGATGCTTATCGTGAGTTCCATCTTTTCCTTTTTCACGCGTCCTTAGGAGGAAGTTGGTGGGTGTTACCGACGGGGACTGATCGCTGACTGACGTTAAAAACAAAACAGGTGACCTTGTGATCGAGGGTTTCACGGCCATGATCGTCTTCAAGAACTTCTTCAGCTTTGCCTTGACGTTCAAGGCTTGGCCGTGGCTTATCCAGAGCAGTGTCAAGGCCGAGACGATCTTTAATGCATTGGGAAGCGTGCAGCTGGTTGTTTGCTTGCTTACCATTCCGTTGTGTAAGTCGATTGATCCTGTTTGACGACATGGATGGACGGATTACTTACTGACAATTTGTTGTACAGATATCTACGGAAAGCGCTTGCGCAGTTTCTCCTATCGCCACGACATCCTGGAGCTTTGCCGGTTGCGGTAGACGGTTGGTGACGGTCATTATAATCCACAGTTTAATCTCTAATATGATACCCTCGTTTTTGTTCTGTATGAAGTTATGGGAGGAGGTTGTTCACGCTGGATGCTGTGGAAATGGAACGCTGAAATGATCAAACACACAATCATCTTCTTCCGGACCTCCATCATCATGTGAAAATCTCCATGTGATTTTGAACCAAACAGGTATCTGCTTTTCTCTCTTTGCAAAACGGCCCCTCTTCTCGCTATCATCATATTCATAACAACACATCATGTCATCATATAAACATAACACCAACATCAACAACCCTTTCCCTATTCCCCTTAACTTAAACCTTCTGAACACTCAAAGTATCCGACAAGCTGCTCTTGCGAGCCGGCACCTGGAAAACCTCGCTGGTACCCTGTGGCTGCTGCTTTCTCCTCTTAGTCAACCTCAGTCCACCAACGCCCAAAATCAGAGCCTGCAGACTAAGCACAACACCAAGCGTAACCATAGCACCAATGACACCAGCAACAGCATTGCTCATACCACCCTTCTTGGCCTCACTAACGCTCGCACTCTCCTCGGCAGGGTAATAAGCAGCGCACTGCCCGGTCTTCTCCCCACAAGCCTCGCACCACTCCTTGCTGCCACCCTCGAGCGCAATCTTGTTCATCTCAGCCACGAACGTAGTCCATGGAAACTCCGTCTTGTCCTGCCCGAAAATGGGGTAGGCCTTGGCGGGGTTGCTATCGGAGGCAGTGCCGTTGGCGAACAAGAAGCGGACAAAGACCTCATCCTCGTCAGGGGTGGAAGAGGAAGCGGACTTGGTGAACAGCTCGAAAGTCATGGAGCTGGCGTAATCGACGATGGAAGTGAAGTCCTGCGACACGGCGGACAGCTGGGAGAGGCCGAAGAAGGAGGCGAAAGTGCCGTAGGGGCCGAACTGGATGTTGAGCTTTTGAGATGAGGAAGAGGAGATGGAGGACTTGAGGGTGGAGACGATGTGCGAGGCCAGGACGGAGCCGGCGACGGCGCGGATGGGCGAGGAGGCGTTGTAGGCGAGGCCGAACTCGTGGATGTTGGCGAGGTCGGAGAGGGTTTGGAGGGTGGAAGGGGCGAGGAGGTCGGAGGAGGGGATGGAGGCGTTGTGAATGGTGGAGACGTGGATGTAGTCGTAGACTGAGGCACGATGTTAGTTGGAGCTGAAGGAGTCGGGAAGGAAGAAGAAGGGATACGTACGGCTGTAAGCGTTCTTGAAGGTGGCCTTCTCGCTGGAAAAGGTCGACTCATAAACGGGCAGCAAGTTCTGGTAGAACTCCTTGGTGCTCTCCAGAAGCTCGAAGTACTCCTTGCTCTGGAAGTACGCCTGACTGCTGTTCACGGCAGCCGGGCACCCGCTGTTTCCCTGTAACCAGGCATTGGACTCAGACTGGGCGCTGCTCGCCGCCGCCGCAGTGTTGACGGGAATGTACTGGTATCCGCTCAGAGGAGCCTCAATGGTGGTGCCATTAGCGAGCTTCTGAGAGTTGACAGAGCCAGCAGGAGGGTACAAGCCCTGGAGGAAGATGCCGGCGCTACCCTGGAGAACATTGTCGACGGGAGCAGTGACGGAAAGCTCGGTAAGATCGGCGAGGTCGGAAGAGATGCCGTTGATGCGGGTGGAGGACTTCTCGTCGATGTAGCGGGAGCGGTACCAGGAGCCGGAGCGGTAGACTTGCTCGGCACCGAGAGCAGTGAGCTTCGTTGGGGAGTAGGCCTTGGTGGTACGGTCACCGTGACGGCTGAAGATGTAGGCTCCGAGGATAGTCTCGGCAGCCGTGGCCGCAGGGATGGAGGCGAGGAGAAGAGCTTTGGTGTGCATGGTGACTAACGGGTGGTATTATACCGAATTCCCGAGGTGTGACGACCGAAGACTTCCAGTGATGGGCTTCTTCAGTGAAAGAAGCTTGAGCAGGAAGAAGAAGGGAGGAACAGCTTCTTAAAGCTAAAGAGCAGAAGAGGTTTATTTGAACTGTCTTGGACACATCAGACCATGATAAGAAACGGAAACTTCCACGCAGTTGCCCCTCATGTTCAACCAGTGATCGACAGAGTAGGAAGAAAAAACAGCATGGCAAGCATGTTCAACCCCACTTGGGAAGCTTGTTTTTGGGCATCGAACACGGAATTGGTTTCTTTCTTTGTCAAGTGTCGGTGGACTGGATAGAGACTCAGAGAGTGAGTGGGCAGCAGGTGCCACTGAGGAGTCTGGAAATGCAGGCGTTGGCAGGGGTTGGCCGACGATACACGCGTTTACTCGGGGCATGCTGCGATCCTCTTGGAGCTATTCAGGTGTTGATACGACCTTCGAAGCTGGCTAGCTTCGGAAGTTTGTGGTGCTGTAAGAATGATGAATCATCACTTGAGGAAAATAGGTAAAAGCAGGTACAAGACACAAGGTTTTACCGCGGAGAAACAATTCATCTGTAAACAAAAGGCAAGGGTTGAAGTAAACAAAAGACACTCGACAACATCCACATCATCTCTCTGAACCGTTAAGTGTAAAATCCCATCAGATCAGATAAGCCCTATAAATTTGTCAAGGGCCCTGACTAACGGGTATTCTTTAGTGGTGGGGAACTGGTCCGGCCTGCCCTCTTGAGATTTTGGGTGGCCAGGGAATCGCCCCCCCCCCCCCCCCCCCCTGCCGGCGGCGGAGATAACACTATCAAGTCCCGATGTGGATCATGAACCTGGCTCGGCCCGGACGCATCTGGGACTTGCATTGCACATTCCCGACTGATATCCGTCCCTTTGGATGCTCAAGATTTGTCTGGAAACCCTCTTGAGATTCTTTGTTTTCTTAGCCTGGCACGACACCAGACTCGTGAGCAGTAGTTGAGAAATATGCAATCATTTAGCACGCCTGCTCCGACCCAAACGCCCTGCAATCATGCCGCCGTGGCATGGCCAGATGGTATAACAACGCTCCGATGTTACAAACTGATGATAACTTTCTTTATTTTCGGGATCCAATGCTTTAGAGCTTGGACTTTTGCTTCCTTCCGTCCTTCAGGTTCTTGCTGATCTGGCCAGCAAGCAGGAAGTCGGGATACTCCATGCCTTCGTCAATGCCGATGTTGTTTCCTCCCTGTCGCCTCCAGCCAGCGCCATCAACGATAAGAGTGGTACCGTTGACATAGTTACCGGCATCACTGAACAGGTAAACGGTAGCGTCGGCAATATCACGGCGGCTTCCCCATCTGCCACTGGGAACGGCCTTGGTCATCTTCTGCTTGTCGACAGCGCTGCTGGCAAGACGCTCCATACCCTCAGTGCCCTCGATAGCACCGGGAGCAATCACGTTGGCAGTGATACCGTAAGGGCCGTATTCGAGAGAAACGCTGGCCATGAGGGAATCCACGGCGGCCTTGGCAGCGGCCACATGGGCCTGCAGGGGCATGCCTGTGTAGTGGAAGGTAGCGGAAACCGAGATGATACGACCGCCAGTAAGACCATTGGGGTTGGGGTTCGGGTTCCTGGCAGCGGACTCGATGAGGTAAGGGATGGTGGCCTTGACGGTGTTGAAGGTACCAATGGTGTCGATGTCGATGACAGTCTTGAAGGCGTTGGGACTCAAGCCGGCAATGGGAGCAATGAAGTTTCCAGCAGCACCAGCGATGACAAAGTCGATGGCTCCCAACTCCTTGACGCAGCGCTCAGCGGCCGCCTTGAGGTCATCGAACTGTGAATTTGGTCAGCTATACTTTCTCAACCCCCATGATTCATCCAAGTAGCAACACTCACGTTCCTGACATCCACATTGCCAATACCAATGACACGAGCTCCAGAGCGGACCTTGGCCATGTCTTTGGCAGCATTCTCAGTCTTCTCCGGGTTACGACCAATGATGCATGCGTCGGCTCCAAGATGGACCAGAGCGCGAGTCTGCGCACTGCAGATGGTGCCGGCACCACCGGTGATGAAGAGAACCCGGTTGGCTGTGACAATGACTGTTAACTACACTGTCTTTTCTGCACGAATTCATCCGGGACTTACCAAAGATGCCGGGCGCCCATACGTTGCTGAGATACTCTGACTTGGGGATACTCATGTTGGCTGATGTTGGTGGATGGAAGATGCAATCACTAACAAATAATTGTTGGTGTTGACGTTGATGATGGAAACAGGCAAGCAAGCAACCGAGATGGAGAAACAAGACGGGGTATATAAAACAACCAAAATATCGACATCAGATGCCAAGAGGACCTTCACCACCACGTAAACCGTTTCATTTGTTCCTTTGGCGAGTGCGAACTAGTGGCATGGGGTCGGGGCGGGTGTTAGAGAAGGGATCTCCATCCTCGCCCCGTACGTGGTGGTGGACTCGACGGGATGGTGGTCACTCCGGTCGGCAGTGGTCATTTGCCAACTGAACCTTCAGCGCTCCTTCAGCTCTCGTTCAGGGCAGCTTCACAAGTTGCGGTTCAGTTGCCGCTGGTACTTACCTGCCTTCACAGTGCACGCTTTACCTCGGCTAAGACCCACCTTCTCCAGACTGGCCCAGCCTTGCGGTACCCCACACCCCGCAACACTGTCTGTTTAGCACGCACATTGTGCGTCGCCCAGCAAAGCTCGGATGGTCTGCCGCTAGCGGCTCGCATGTTGCCCCACTATAACATTCCATCTGTATCAACGCCTTCTTTTTTTGTCCAGCCTCGTCTTCTTTGATTCACGATATCTTCAACCTAACAACCTGACTTCCGTCTCTACATTCACAGTTGTATGGACCTGCACGTCCGAATTTTCGACGCGACTATAAACAAACCTTGAAAACAATCAACAACCGACCTTTTACTTCTCCCTCGACAACAACCTCCATTACCACCCTGTTGGTCATCCCACTTTCTCGTTTTCCATCTCTGCGCATCCGAATTGCACATCTACATAGGTTTGCGATTTATCACTGCGCACTCACGATTTCATTACTCTTCAAACATCAATCTCCCACTTACCACATCACATCACCATTTGCCCGCCATGGACACGGCAACTGACGTACCAAAGAAAAGGAGAGCGCTGCCCTTCAAGCGCACCTTTGTCCGCGCACCAGTCAACGAGCCACCCCCAAGCCATGCGCCAGAAAACAATTCTGATGATGATGACCCTCTCGCCTTTTTTCGGCGGTCAAAGGACGTCTTCCCAATGGCCCTGGAGGACTTGAAGCGAGCACCATCAGAAGAAAAGGTAACGCCTTCCGAGTCGCCAAAGTCAGCAGAACATGTCAACAAGAAACGGAGGGTGTCCTCCAATGCCGACGGTGACAACGAAGCACTTGGAGCCTCCTCTTCTAGCGTATCAGCACCAAGCAGGACGTCTGCTTCGCGCGTTGACTCGAACGACGACGACTTGATCATGGACGTCAAAGGCAAAGGCAAAGAAATTGTACGACCTAACAAAGGCCGGTTACCGACTCCTCGAAAGCCTCTTTCAAACACACCACGAAAGTTGGGGACTCCCTCCAAAAAGCGCTTCGCCTTTAGCGACGACGAAGACGACCACGGGAAGGACGATCTGTACTCCCCGCACTCGAAGTGTCGCAACCCCGATCGCTTCTCTCCAAAACCCACCGCGCTCGGCCGCAGCACCCGGGCCACTAACCGCGGCAGCTCGCCGTTGGAAGGGTTCGAGACCTCCTTCAACCTCCCCGGCGCCTCCTCCACCTCCAAGAGGAAACCCTTCCGGTCCGCCGCCCTCGACTCCGACTCCGACAAAGACTCGGACCTCGAA